CCATCGGGGGTAGTCCGTTCCTGACTTTGTAGCAAAACAACTGACTCCTGCATGAAAGCTCATCGAAGGAATTCATTTGTTTAGTCAATTACCAAAATTTGGATGATTTTGAATATTCACTTGAAAAGTTATCAAAGAAAAACATTTTTCATTTTGTAACTTCGAGGGCCCGTTACTTGGTAACGAAGGATTTTAGGCAAAAAGTTATATGAAGTACTGGTAATATTTTGACCCCATCTATACATTCCCGAGAGGAAAAGAGGAAGTCCAGGGACACCCTGTATATGTGTGTGTGTGTGTGTGTGTGTTGTATTAGTCTTACTTTTGACTATCGGTGTGTTGTAGGGAAGTATAATCCTGGGAGCTTAGACTACATAATGAGGTGATATCACTAGTTTCTGTTGCACTGTGAGGTTCTTTTCGTATAAGTGGTACTGATAGCCTATTCGTTTCACTCAAAGAATCGGCTCTTGAATCGAGAATTTCCTTAGCTTCATTTCCTAATCTCCTCACCAGCATCTTTGAAACAAAAGAAAAAATCCTATCTCTGCATAAGACATTCATTAGATTTCTACCTGTAGTTCAGATTCTTTGTCCAGTAACGTTTTTCTATACTTGGAATTCAAACCTTTCACGTCTTTCAGTTTGGTTTCGAGTTCGGACACACTTGAATCTCTGCGGGTTTTAGACATGGGCCTCAAAGTTGGTCGAAATCTTTTATCAACCGGACCTCCTGGATTTCGCCTCAATTCAAGCATTTTTGGAACAAAAACTAACCATAGAGTCGCTGTTGTGCAAAACATCACAAAGACTCCTGAAACACAATTATTATTACTACACTGCTATCCATCAAAGAACCAACAAAATATATTTATTTGCAAACACATAATCGATTGAAATATAACTTATACAGGGTGTAAATCAAGTAATCACTTTAGTTTCGAAAAGTGATTTCTTGATAGCAGTAATAAAAGGCTTGTAATGATGTAATTTGCTTTGACATAGTTGAACAACTAAACAAATTCAATTATAAGTGGTCTCGTAAGAGTTTTGTTGTATCGTGATTGGTTTTCGAGAAAAAAAAATAGAACTAGAAATACAGTTAATTCTCTTAATGATTGGAAATCTGGATAGTACCGTGGAAAGCAAGTTGATTCAAAAACAAGTTTTGACACTTCATTCGTTAGCAATTCAACAGTATAGAAACATTAAAATTCGTATGTTTTCACAATGATCTGAAATTGGTAAAATGATATAAAGTTTTGCGACGAAACTGAAACGGAATATCAACAATTGCTCGACTATAGTGAAACCAGAGGGCTTGCGCTTATGCCTACTTTGGAAAGGGTTTTGAATCAGTCATTGAAAAACTACTGAATTTTTTTTGACGATACCACATCCGAATTGTGGCTTTATTTTTTACACGCTCAGCCAGCAAATTTTCATTAAGCTGTATTGAAACTTGAAGGTCAGACTGTATCGGAAATTGATGCTGCAATAGAAATCAACTAAAAGACAATTTGACTCAGACGCAGACCAATCAGTTTTTTCCATTTACTGTCAGTATTTAATGGTGAAATTGAAAGACAATGGTACCGACATACATGGAGATTTTGTGGAAAGGACAGCCATATAGCTTTATGAAATAGGTCATGAATATTTGGAGCAGTGGACTTGCTTTTTCATCAAAAAAATGGAGATATTTCATTGGGCAGATTTAAAAAAGGCCCCTGCATGAAAAGACGTTCGCAAATCTCTGGATGAAAAGGAGTATATTGACTGTAATAAAGATACGTGTATTTAATGAATTTTTATCGATTTGTAACTACATTACATTGCAGAAAGTAACTGAATTGAATAATCCGAATGTTTTCACGGAAACTCGTTGGGTGGAAGTATTCAAACATTTGCAAGCCAACAATTTCGAGCATGAGTTAAGGAACGACCGTTCCCACGGATTGCTGCTCTCACAGAAACATGATCTGCTGACAGCGGTTTTCCAAGAAATCCTTATCTGGACTTGCGAGGCGATGTTCATCAGTTAACGTTTTTTTAAATCATTCTATTTGTAACTCATGATAGAGTAAGTCGTTTTCAATTGTAAATTTATAAAATAATTTTTTCACATAGTAAAACAAATATTCAATGTAACTCAAAAGAGCTGCAACTTATGAGAAAATATCGAAACAAAAAGTAAACCGGGAAAGAAAGCTTTTGGCTTTCTACTACTCCATCTTGATACAAAAAAATGTGCGAATCTTTCAAAGAAGATGGATGGATGACGAATCATTGTCAATCACAAGAAATTCCCAGATTTTGTCCGTCAATTCCAATTATGCGTTTACATGAATTTTTACTGATGTGGAAAATATGAATGCTTGAAAAACAGATCTCCATTATGGTTCAATTAGTACATGTACATATTCACTGAATCAAATAAATAGTTTATTTAAATAATGTACAATTATCTATAGCTATAACTACATGTCATATTTTATGTTGTCGTTGTGTTCGTTGTAGATATAGTTGTAGCAACTAATTGAGTGGTTGATTCTTCTGTTGTGGTGCTAGTTTCATTTCTTTTGACAACTCCATCTTCCTCTGCGTTCAGCTGCTCAGTTTTAAGGACAAGGTCGGCCTTATATTGTTCGCTAGGAGAAGGTACATTTGAATTCAGAGGTAACAAGTCTATAGCTTGTACATGAGCCCTTATAGAGACTCCTGGAGGTACGGAGAATACTCTATCACCAACATTTGTAACTAAGGTACCCGTACATTTTGGACAATTCTCTCCAGCAACACTTATTGAAGGGCCTTTATACGGTGGTCGAGGGTGACTACTTTCACTTCCGAACAGCCCATAATTACCATCGATTGGAGAGTAACTATCTCCAAATCCTGTAGGAGATTTACTTCCACTATCATAACCTGACTCCGAACTATCTAATGGTTTTTTATTACCAGTATAAATTCCACTGAAGATGGGTCGAGGTCGTGGGGTAGATAATGATGGTTTGCCATATGATTCTTCAGAACTTCCACTAGAAAATCCAGGACCACTAGGTCGACTAGATGTACTGCTTCCGTAGCTTGGAGTTGGTGGTATGTAAGCTCCATTTTCGCCAGAAGGCTTATAGGAACCGTCATCTTCGCCGCTGCCAGTAATAGGTTTATAACTACTCCCAGGTTTTGGAAGGGAGTTTCCACTGCCAAAAATGTCATCTAAGTGATCATCGTCGTCTTCATCATAAGACGGTTTATTGCTTGGCCTACCACTGAAAGGTTTCTTGCTACCAAAGTCGAAATCATCCCCAAATGAAGGCTTGACTTTGTTGGGTTTACCACCTGATGGTTTCTTGTCCCCGAATCCAAAATCATCATCTTCATCTGAAGCGTTTCCTTCATCATTTGCACCAGGTCGACCACCAGGTTTCACGTGGCTGCTGGGTTTCACATGCCCACTGGCTGCGGTATCGAAGACGTCCCTGTCGTAGTCGTAGAAGTCTGGAGGAATAATTCCTGGATGTTCAAATGGAAACACGGTGGGTAGGTGAGGTCCTTTCACTTGCTTGAGGACTCGATAACCTGTCTCTGGACCAGCGATATAATGTACAGAGTGCTGAACTCCTTTATCATCCAGGTATGTGTAGGAACCTCTTACGTGACCAGTAGAATCACTAGTCTCTGTCCGTCTTTGATCTGGCCCTGCCGAGACGAATCTAGACGACAAAAAAAGTAGTTAAAAAGTTTTTCAGTTCAAATTTCAAATGTAAAATATCTTGCAGAAATCTCCATAAAGTATTACGTGACGAGGAAGAGAATACACTTTGCGAGTTTGTTTCAAAAGGATTTTTTTTGTATCTAAGAGTGACGAACTATTCATATAGCTATTCCAAACTTTGCATATTAATGCAGTTGATATTGGATAAAACGTTGCTTAAAATAAGCTAAATATAAATATAAAAAACAATAATATTTCTTTCAACATACCGAAAACTAATAGACATCTATTTGTTAATATTTGCAACTCTTGGTATCCTCTCATCAAGTTACAAGTATTCATTCGAGAAACGTATCCCATTTTCAGCAGAACTAGATGTGTAATAGGTTTCCATACCAATGTTTATATCTATTTCATGGGAAGTGTTGATAATCCAGTGAAAAGTAAAAAAAAAAGGTCTTTAGCAGTGCTTTATGAATAGGAAATATTTTAGGGGGTGTCACCAATAATTTTTGTAATCACACACATAGTTATGTTAAAAAATGCTAGACAACACTAGACTTCCAAAATGTATAATCTCATATTGTGAAACAAGTTTGGTGTAGCTGTTACACTTGTGTATAAGTAACAAGTGTTTGAATTTACTTACATACAAGTATTAACTTTAATCCAAAGTAAATTCAAAGTTAAAAGTAACAGAACAGCATTACAAAATGGTTTGGACTTTCGCGGCTGAGGTTTTCAGTGTCACTGTTTTTCGAGTTTGAAAGCCGTGGATTTTTGGAATTTCTTCCTGACGTTTCGCTGGCGCGAGTGGCTAGCTTCTTCAGAGGTTTAACTATCATAGATTGCTGTCCGATGACTCTCTGAAGAAGCTTGCCACTCGCGCCAGCGAAACGCCAGGAAGAAATTCCAAAAATCCACGGCTTTCAAACTCGAAAAACAGTGACACTGAGAACAGCATTAGCTTCGAATTATAAAAAATAGTTTTCTCATCATGAGAAAATCAAATTTATACTTGTTAAAAAGATACTGGAAGAATATTTATTATTCTCTGGAGATATTCTCTGTATCAGCATCGAACTCTTTTTATTAAATATCTGATGGAATCAGCCGATACTTGTTGAAAATCCATTACGTTTTCAAAAAACACTTCGTTTTTTATACATTTGTTCAGAAACCATATGTTTTGTGTTATTAGGGCACATCGTACAATTGGTTAGTAATACCAAATGGCTAAAAAACCCATAGAGGTTTTTTAAAAATATTTAATGGTATCGGCCGATACTTGACGAAACCCCATAAATTACTCAAGAAACACTATATATGTAGTGAAAATCTAACAACGAAGTATTTCTTGAATAACTTCTCACATTGTGATTTTGTACTGAGTTTTGAGGTAAGTATGAAGTTTTTTTCAGTTTATACCTGAAGAAAACTTATTTTGAGAGTTTTTAATGATGTACTTAGAAAAAAGCCAAAAGGTTTTTTTAAACATTTTCTCTTAAAGACGATATTTCCTATTGAAATATGCTCACTTGTAACTTCCATCAAGCCCCCTCTGAATTGAAGTTCTTCCTCTTGGAATAGGCTTGCCACGTCCTCTGAAATACAAAGGCCCATACGATCTTGGATTTGAGTCAGGAAAAGGTGTCTTCACGTGAAATCCAGTATTCTTGCCTGCAACAAACTCCACATTGTGTTTTTCTCCGACATCGTCGACATAGGAGTACTTCCCCTTTACATCTCCAACTCTATTTGCATCTTCGTTTCTAGTATAAGTTCTCGTCCTGAAGGAAAAGTGATAGCTGGGATCTTCGTAGGGGTCATCAAGAGACACACCTGTTCCCCTAGGTCCGGCTTGATTGAGATCATATTTTCGCACGACGTTTTTACCTCTTGGTCTGAATCCACGTGGTCCCGCTGTGTAGATTGTGGAATCTATGGCACCTGTGTGTGAAATGAAATATGTTTAATCGATATTTCTTTGGGATGCTATCACCAAAAGAGGATAGGAAGCACACTGATTGAAGAATCATTAAGGATTAAGAAGATATTGAATTTTTTCGTAATATTTCAATTCTGTTTGAATGAGTGAGTTTTCTTCCATTCTAACGACTGTATCTCTGTACCTCTCCATTTTTTCCAACAATAATTTTTAACAACAAATTTATAGCTACATATAAAATTATATCTCCATACTCATCCTAGGGTTTCTATTAGGCCTAAAAGTTTCTTCTGAATCTTGTGTGATTTGAAAAAAGTATCAACTAGTGAAGTGGTCATAAGTAACCACCAAATATCCACAGAATGGAGAGGTATGGACGTTACAAGTCAAAATTTTCTAAACCCTTTAAGTTCATTTTTTCGCTCTATCTATCTTTTTGTATCATTATTGGCCACTCTCCCAAGTCCTGAAATACTTATTTTACGGCAGGCTTGCCATTGGAGTTATTTAGGTTTATTGTTGACATGTTTTTCTCAAATGGTGTAAAAAGTAAATGTATGGTTTTAAATGCATAAATATGTGTCTCTCCCTGCATGGGGTATTATTTTAAACGAGATGTAAGGATTATTATATAATGGAATTGGCTGATGATACATGTTGAGCGCATTCAACAATACTTCATTACGATTTTTTCTCAAAATAGTTTACAAAACCGCAACATGTGTTTCATTATGCAATAGCTTCTTCAGGTGTTAACTTATTTGTGAGAATACAAACAAGATTTATTCATAATTTTCAAATGAACATAGGTACGAATATAAAAAATTTTGTTGAAATCAAAATTTATGTGTGGAATGACTTTGAGCAAATGGAACAAAGTGGTTTTGTGAAGTTTCATGTTACTGATAATGGGACTATTTTGATAATTACCTGAATGTGAATATTTTGGGTAACGTGTCGACAGTAACTGATAATTCACCTGAAGTTTTAAAAACAACAAATACTGATTGAGGAAATAGGTTCTAGATACTCGAACTTTTAAACTAATTCCGGATTCGATACCGACATTATTATCTTTATTTTAGAATAATCTACGTGAACAAGTTGAACTTCCTTAACATTCTTTCTATTTAGGTAAATACCTTTCATGAATATAGGTGATATTTCTCGAAAATATCCCTGTACTTTAATATGCGCTGTGGAAACAGTATAAAAACGTTCACATTGATTAATTTAATTGTTCAGTTTACTTCTCGTGCATTTTTTATATTCACTAATTTGTTTAAGTGTTAATCAATGTTGAACTGACGAATGAAAAATATTATGTTGGCGATTTTTATTCATTTGAAACAAGATTAATATTTATGCAACAGTGATTTAAATAATTGAAAATTAAGTCAACTGGAATGAATTGGTCTCCAACAAATACGAATAAATCTGATGTAGAATAAACGACTACTTCCTTGAATAAAAAGAGGGATTCAATATTTTGATAATTGATAAAATATTTTCGACAGTTCTTGTTTTGAAGTCGTTGTTAACAGTTAGGAAATAAAAAGGAAATAGCTTGAAAAGATGTGAAAAAAAGCGAAACTAAGGAAATATCAATAAAAAACATTTCTAAAAATGTGTAGATCATCCATAAATGATGATCACTATAAAGAATTCTGATACTTTATTTTTGGGAGTCTTTTTCTTTTCGTTATGATGTTTAAAGATATTTAGTAAATGATGTATGTGATGAGTTATTTTCAGGTATCTTGCGTGACAACAATGTCCTCCATGTTTGTGGTAGTCTCTGCGAATCATCTCGCTTGGTAAGGCAGTTGGGACGTTTTTCAATTGCGATTGCTTCCCGAATAATCCTGGCCTGAAGATTTTTCTCCGTAGCAATGGTCTTGTTGTTTTCGAAGCTTATTGTGTGGCCTGTTTTCTGGTGGTCTTTGAAGAGAGATGAAGCTGGATCTGATTTGAGAACAGCTAGTTCATGTTGATAGGTTCTGTTGGAAATTCTTCTCTTGATCTGGCCGATGTATGTTCTGGGGCAGTTAGAACATGGTATTTCGTATATGCCCTGTGCTTCATTGCGTATCGTGTCCTTGGGTGTTCTTAACATAGTGGAGATTTGGTTGTTGGCTGTGAATTCTGTCTTTACGTTATGTTTCTTCAGAATTCGACTCACTTTGTCAGTAACTCCATGGATGTAGGGGAGAAAAGCTTTTGTCTGGTCGGTCTGTTCCTCAGGTAACTCGTGGGGTGGGATTTTTGGGGGTTCTGTTTGTTTTTGATTGTCAAGTTGGCGGGAATTCGGTCAAAATGTTGAAGAAAACCAATTTTTAAATTGTCGACGTTTCGAAACTGTGAAACTGTGAAGTATCTGAAGGTGAAGGACTCTTCACCCTGAAGATGAAACAATAAAGTTTCGAAACGTCAACAATTTAGAAATTGATTTTCTTCAATATTTTGACCGAATTCCCGCCAACTTGACAATCAAAATCATATTCAACGGTCTCCATCCTATTCAAATTTCTGTTTGTTGTCCTTGGACGGATCTTTGTATTTGGGAGACGGGATAGTCGTTTTGGTGAAGGGCGGCTGTGAGTTCGTATAATTCCCTGGATCTATTGTGGTTGTCAGTGAGTCTTATAGAACGATGTATGAGGGAATTCAGAACGGAATTCAGCTGGGCAGGATGAAAATGGGACTTGGCATTAAGGTAGCGGTTAGTAAGGGTAGGTTTTCGGTAGACCGTGTGTGAGAAGGAGTTGTTGGATTTTGTGATGTGAACGTCCAGGAAAGGGAGTGAGTTGTTATTTCCAACTTCCATTGAGAACTTTAGGTCTGAGTGTAAGGAGTTGATGTGGTTCAGGAATGCATGAAGATCGTCGGATCCATGGGGCCATATAACGAAGACGTCATCCACGTATCGAAGCCAATACGTGGGTTTGAGATGAGACGTGTCAATGGCTCTGGTTTCGAAGTCCTCCATATAGAGGTTTGCAAGGACTGGAGAGAGAGGAGAACTCATTGGGGCGCCTTCAACTTGTTTCTAGAATTTGTCCTGGAAACGGAAATATGTGTTGGAAATGCAGTGGCTGATGAGGTTGATCGTATCTTGTGGAATTTAATGTTTCGTTTTGAGAAGGGACAAAGTTTCGGATACTGGGATATTTGTGAAAAGGAAAGCTACGTCGAAGCTGACGAGAATGTATGTTTGTTGGATATTGAAGAATATCATATGTCCGAAACTCCTATCACTTCATAGAAATTCTGCAACACTTGGGGACAGGGGAGATTACGACCTCGTCCTCGAGTCATGTACAAATCTAAGTGATTCTTGAAAATAGCTCCAAAGCAGGAGCAGAAACGTCGCGGTTCAACCCGGACAACAATTCTTATAGATTCATCCATACCTGTTTCGGGATTTCTTCCTCCGAATTCCCCTTTGACTACTTTATTTCTGTTGGCATCCGCGTAGTGGTATGAGTCAGGATTATTATAACCGAATTCATAGGAGCCGTCCCTGTTGAGCACATTGTAGTCATCATCTGCAGTAAGTACTTCTCCTATGATGATTGCCAGGGTAACATACCGTGAAATTCGCTATAACAAACATTAATATTCATTAGTTTTATACGTGCGAGAATTACAGACACTGATTTTATTGCTTGAAGTAGCACATATACAATGAGACAATGGGGATTTTAAAATTTTCGCAGAATTCATCACTCGAGTATATAACATGACAATATTGGTTTTTGTTGAAGATACTTGAGGCACTTGCATCCCAGTAGGTTGTTGGCGTTTACCTTTTTGGGGGAGTGTTATACATACAAATCAAATTCAAGAATGTTTCGTCAGCTTCTTAAACCGAATTTAATTTGGTTACGAAATTGTGGCTAGACCGTAACAGAGTAACAGAATACGTCTGCGTAATGTTGATCATTCTCAAAAGTTTTCCTGGAGTGGGCTTTCACTTAAGCAGTAGCTACGAAAAATTTATAACAAAGAATATTCTGGAGCCTAGGAGATAAAAAAACTCATTCTGAAATATCTGAGCTGTCAGTGTTTCTGAGTTTGATCAGGACTTTTTAAGGCAATTTTTCAAACAATTCCTAAATGAATATTTCTGATGAATGATATACATCGATTTCTGTGATATTTGAAAACTTCACTCAAATTTTGATGGCACTGATGAACAAGATCGAGAGGCCGAGGCTTTTGCATTAAGTAGAGTTCTTATTCAAATTATTACTATTACGCGTATTTCACAATCGTGATTTTATACTTAACTGTCAATTTAGTTTTATGTTTGTATGATTTTATATTTAAATAATATTATATGTCAACACTGTCACCTTTTTATATTTATACTCATATTTGTGATTTTATATTATCTTATGTGTTTTTAATTCCATATATCAAGTAGTTTATTTTCATATGAAAATCCCTTTTACATAATTCATTATCATACTTTAATATTCATCATATAGGTATTCATTTTTTTCCTTTGGATCTCCTTTTCACCACATACAAGCAACATCTGATGCTTCTGTGGTTTCTACGATGTTTATTCAACTGTATACATTACTTAAGTTATTTCTTTTTGTGATTTGAATCTGAATCAAAAAATAATAATAATTATTATTATTAAAAAAGAGTCACCTTCAATTCTATCCAATTCCTGTAGAGATGGTGATATTGCTAGTGTTCTTGAGCTATACGCAATTACCAATTTACAATTCTTCGTAGTCTCCAAGAAGGCTCCATCGAGTCACAATTTTTTTGTGCTTCAGAGCTTGAAGTAAATATAATATAACATTCTGAATAGATTCTTTGTCTGAAATTCTCAAAGGGAACTACGTAGTGAAGATTTTTAAAAATATCTGTTAGTTATTACTTTCCTCGGTGATACCATAGAATAGACGGTACTCTGTGAATGTATGGCTTGCAATCGAAGCCATATGCTATATATGGAATGATTTTAGTTCTCATTATTTGACCAACCCCAAGTGAAAACTTGAAAACAAACTTAAGATGCTTTTGAGAGCCTGTATAAGCAAGTGCGTCGGAAAATATTAATAACGCAAAAAGTTTCATCCGAAACAGTCCACCATTCACATTTTAAGAAATTGCCCAAAATTTCAGAATGTTCTGAATGAATCGTCAACAATGAATTTCTATTTTAATTTGCTTAAAACCCAATAAAAATTGAAGGAAAATCATAATTGATAATGTGGATTAAATTTGCCAACCGTGAATTTTATATCTCATCAGTGTATTACCAGTATGTCATAATAAAAATAACTTTCTTTGACATATCACAAGACAAAGTTCAATGTGAGATTTCCACTTGAAAGTTTACTAAACCGCAACATGTGTTTCACTGTACAGTAGTTTCTTCGGGCTTCACAATACTGTCTGAACAAATTCTGTGTCGTGTTTTTATAGTAATTTGAATCATTATGACTATTACTATCTGACAATTTTGTACATAATAAATTCATTACCTAAACTATTTTTCTTTCTAGGAACAACTCATAAAACTGGAGAATAATGAATACAATTTTTACCTGTGCCTTAATTTTACATAGTTTTAAGATCTATATTGATTACCAATTTCCTCATTTCAAACTAACTTTAATAAACGGGAACTATTCAAATATATCTGAACCTTTCTCTTCCAAATGGTTTTTCCATTGAAAAACCTACTTCTATTTTCATTTATTCCTTTGGAAAAAGTTTTTTCGGTTTGTCCGATATAAAATTTTGGACAAGAACCAACTTGGAGTTTTATCTTTATTGTTTTTAATGAATTTTCTCAAATTTTTATTTGTTCTGTAGGATACATCCAATTATTAGTAGGATCACCAAAGTATCATTCGTTGAAACTGGATAGACCTAGTTCAGAGCTTGTTTCTGCCTTTTTTTTTAGAATTAGTCTGTGAATCATACTATTGAATGCTGCTACTTCATGTTGATTTGGATGAATAGATGAATTGTGTATCATGATGTCCGTGTAAGATGGTTTGTGGAAAATTGCTAAATCATGTTAAGTATTAATTCTAGTGATGGTCAGGTCTAGAATATTCATACAATTATTCACCTCCATCTCAGTCGTGAACTTAATCGAAGGATGGATCGAATTAACAAATTTGATAAACTTACCCAGGTGGCGGCCTATACCAGCAAAACAAACTGAGATATCATCTACATATCTGTATCAGTATGAAAAATTGTTATTCAGACTATTAGTATGGATTTTATTCTCTATAAAAATTTAATCTAGCAAAGGACTCAAGAACTATCATATTTCTACAAACTTTCTATGACCTTTTTGAATTTATTGGAAAATTTTATTTCCATTTGATCTAAATTATTAATGAGTGGTCTGTTGTCTGTTCAGTAATTCATTCATTGTTTCTGCAATTTCAATACAAAGAGAATATACATTTTATTTTTTATTGTTGATTATCAATGCTATTAACATCGTCATTAACCTGGTACGGTTCAATGACAGCCTTCTTTATGTTCACTATTAAAAATTGTATGAATTAATAGAATACTTGATATTTTCAACAAAAGATTTGTACAAGCAAGCAATTATCTACCAATGAATCGTTTTTCAAACATCAAAAATAGAAGTTGGAAAGTAAATATTGGATAAATAAATACAAATTCGCACATTCCACCCAAAAATATTGATTGTGTACTCAATCCTTGCAAGGATTAATAGATTGTCATTTGAAAACATTCAAAACTCGTGTTTCCACTCAAATTTCTGAAGGTCTATCTGAAGGTTGGAAGATCCTCTTTTAAATTAAATATTCTGTCCAGTTGAAACGAGCCACTTTGAATAAGTCATTTGATATTGGCACCGTAAAGAAATAGTGAACACGTCAACATTAGTTTTTAGGACACATTTCACCATAAAAAATCAATTCCTTATTAGCTAATCCTTTCCAAAAACAATCCACATGTCATAAATTCAGAAAGGAAATACTAGTCTAACTTACTCAAAGTGAGTTGTTTTAACCGGAATAAATATTAAGTATTTTCGAAATTTTTCATTTGACAACTTCAGATGAGTATTTATCGCTTGACAAATTCATAACACATGCACATGCTTCAGATATTCTACCTGAAAACCACAATCACTTTTTATCTGAACAATCAGAAGGATCAGTGAATTCATGCATTTTCCTGTATTCTTCAGTCTATCCGATAGTCGTAATTGACATTTCAAAAAGGTTTTTCCATAGCGAATATGAGTATTCTAACATCTAGGTTGTTCAATTCGAACATTGAAGTCAGGAAAAACATTGAAATATTGAATGTTTCATTCGTTTGTTGTAATATTCGTTCAAAACAATGTTAAAGTCAGCTCTACATAATGACTAGTAGGTTTTAAAAAATTCAGCAAGCTAGTATACAACAAATACAACCCAGAAAATGCAAACTTTCTCAAAAGATTCATAAATAATAAACTGATTGGAAAATTAATATTTTTAAATAACAACCCATATGTCAAAAATTGCAAATAAGAATTATAGTCCAGTGGAGTTAAATCGGGATATATGGGTGGCTATTCTGTAGAACATCTCTTTCCAAACCATCGACCAAGAAAGTTATTATCGAATAACTGTCTCACTGGTGCTACGCAATGAGTAGGATCCCATCTTGTTGAAGAATCATCTCATTTCACGATAGAGGATCTAAGTGGCGTTGTTTATGTTTGACATTTGACTCAATTATTCAGCAAATTAAAATATCCTTTACCAGACGTACTTTCACAAATAATGGTCTATAAATATGGGTATATAGGGTATGAATTTGGGGTGCCTTATTGACATTTGCATGACTACAGTATCGGAAACATGTTGTGTTCAACGGCATAAAAAGGATGACAATTTTTCAAGTAGGGTAAGATTCGTTGAAAGTGCACCACATCGACTAACTGACATTAAAGTTATCAGTTTAACCAGCTATTAAATATTCAGTGTAAGCAAAGAGTCTTGCAGATTATTGAAGAAAACCCATATAATGGTCAGTGGAAATAGTCTTATAACGCCATAATACATAGTAGGAAACAATAATATTCCGAATTTAAACTGTTCATTTTCATAATTGAAATTATTCGTAAATACAAGAATCGAACGAATGAAATAAAAATTATGGGGATTGGCTTTGAAAAAAAAAACTGGAAAAACTATGAAATGTATTAATAAACTATGTGATTGAATATGATCTCGTGTATATCCATTGATTTATGATTACAATTCAATTTTCATACTTTATCAATAGCAGTGTATGTAATCGTATAATTGAAGATTTACATCTGAAAACATAACATTCAATCAAATTGTTTAAAATTTTGTTTGTTTAAAATTCTAACAAAATTCAAAAGTAAAGATATGAAAATAATAATGAAAGTATTTGTTTAAGATGCCTCGTTGAAAAATCAGTCCGCTAACATGAGAAAGTGGTCACAGTTCCGATGATATCGAAAAAAGGAACCATCTGTATTGATAAATTATATTTAATGCTAATATTGTTGGTAATACAGATTTTCATTTAGCTCCCGAGTGAAAATCATTCCAATATTACCAATATTACACCTGATCCAATATTACCAATATTACACCTGATCACCGATCACTGTTTTCATCGGAAAAAAATTACCCATTAGGATGAAAACATCACTAATCACTGTAATCCAAAAAATTGGGCCACGAAACATCACTCATTACTCACATTTGAAATCTGCATTATAACACAAAAATCACAACCACTACAAACCCAAACCGCTACTGACATCAAAAATGAGAAATCACCTTTTATATTGATAAATCAAAAAGTGGGGTATTAACACGATTTTTTTCATTCACAATTGTTTCAAGAAGACATATGAATACCGTTGACCATGCAAATATTCAGAACTCTCGTAATGAAAAATTTCAACGAAACAATTGAATGACTAGATCCTGAGGAAACCTCCTGTAGCGTGAAGATCGAAGATGGCCTTGCATTTTCTTCAATGGTCTGATGGGTACAATTGAGAAACAGGACCCCAGGTTGGTCACTTCATTTTTTTTAATGACTGGGAATTCTTAGTTTTTGTAGTGTACCAGTAACTTGATTATAGTGTTTTCAGTTTTATTTCACAATTAGGGTCGCTTTTATTGAATAGCTTTTTGTTCATAATTAGTTTTATAAAATTCATTCAGTGTCGGAATATTTTATTGAATGAAGGTGATGGTTCGATATAGATCTTTAAATTTTATTCTTCTTATTCCATTGCGGAAAAAGAAATAGTGAGATTATAATCAATTATAATCAACAAAAATTATAATTTTTGCAGGATGCTTGTTCTCATATCTAGGAAAACAGTCTACAATATTATATAGATGAATACAATACCTACATAATTTTATTTGCGAACGTAATTCAGATGTTTCAAATGTGAATTAGAAATGGTACTTACCTACAACAATCAATCATGTCCGGATATTGATTTCATCATTCTTGCTATTTTGTGAGGACTGATGGAACCTGAACTAGTTAGTAGTCTAGATAGATATTATTAGATATTATAGTTGAAACCGAATCCCATAAACGAAGCATTCTGGATCAATTCCCAGGCAGCAATGTTTCGACACACCAAGGTCTCATCAGTAGTGCTATGCCGAGAAAGTAAAGGTGATAACCTCTCTGTGAGAAGACGCTTTACATGGGATCGACAGAAGATTCTATCCACGAATATCAAAGATAAACAAGGCACCCTAAGGCGGTTCGTTACCTTATCAAAGTTAAATAATATTAGAAATATGCTTTCTTAAGTTATCAAAGGCTTCATGAAAAGTGTAAAATAGTATTGAGAATATATTCACGCGGTAAATCACAAGCTTGATACTGGGACTTCTACTGTTTCAATCAACACTATAGATCCAGAATAGAAATCAAAGAGGATCATCTATCAGATTATTCCTATGTAGAACAAACATTCAATCATCAATAAATTACAATTGAAGTAACCATTGTTGAAAGCCACTAGAAGAGATTGGACCATCCGAAATTAAGAGAAAAAAATTCACTTCTTCCATTCAAATGGGGAAAGTTACCGGGAAAATATTTTTCTGATGATACTTATAAGTGGGGTAATGTCATCACCATGAGTTATTTCACACTGAACCAGACAACTGTGGAAAGGTTTGAACTCCACCAATTCCAAAATCTGTACCTCACTTACAAATATCAGGCATTTTATAGAAAACCTAAGAAATTAAAAAAACTCACCTCTTCAGCTTTGACGTCAAAAACCTCTGTGGAGGTACTTCCTTCGAAGCAATTAGAATCATCCAGAAGGAGATATCGAACGTTGAAAAGACTCCAAGAGAGATTCATAGAATAGCTAGTTTCCGTTAAAAGTAAGCATTTTCAATCAAGACGACAAACTACCAATGAGATTACTACTATCATTAGTGATAACCAATACAAATTTGAAACGCTTACCAATTGTAAAAGCTTTCAAGAATGGATATATTTTCTAATTTCAGGAAAAATGAACTTGTTGGAACTTCTGGACATTAGATAACTGATTGAGCATACATTTTATTCAACGTCAAATACCAGCATCACATACCTATATAATGAATGTCCCCTACTAATATGAAATGTTGGAACCCATTTCACAATCGAAACTGTTGATTCTCACAAAAAAAACGTTTGAGGAAAAAATGGATCTGATTGGATCATGCTGGATCATAGTTGGATCATCCATATTAGCGGGACTACCAAGTTAACAAATGCAAACAAATCCATGAGCTGTTTGCATTATACCATTGACCCACCAAAAAGACACTTGTAGCACAGAATTAAGAATACTGAGTCATGAGTTACAGGGAAATAGTTAGAAACTGAGACACAAAAATATACATAAGTGATTTATCACTTGTTGCCTCTTCTTACCTACGTGGTTAAATGATCTGATAAGCAAGAGAGTAAGAAACCAGTTGTAATTTTTCAATGATCGATACGATTGTATGAATGATCAAGTGAGATATCAGTAACGACAAATAATTTCAATTCAATTTCAAAAAAATGTTCAACATTCAACAGTACTGAAATTTTTGAAGTAGAATAAACCTAGTGGGTTAGCATTTAATAAGAGATTATTGATACAATCAACCCGACATACTTTTTGGTATATCTGGCATTAGTGTGCAAATTGAATGTGAAGTTGATATTTTCGTAACACAGCAAAAGTTACTAATATTAATTTAAATTGATAAAATGTGTTGCGGACTATAATTAGGTAGATATGAAGCAGAATGCGTGTTTCATTTTGTAAATTACTCGTAATTTTGTACACAAATGTAACAGATGATTTAACTTTTTCAGATGCAGAGAGCAGTATTTGTATACTGTGATATAGAATATCAATATTTCAAATGAATTGGAATTTTATTTGAAACAACGATTTTCTCTCGATCCTGTCTTGTCTTGTCAGAGGAGTGATACAAGGAAGGATTCTCTCTGATGGACTTGCTTCATGAGATGGACCTGAGACTCTATTGAAATATATAAAATGTAACTATCTGTCCCCAACAGTTTTGAATCACCTCTTCTTCATAATTGAATGAACTGGTTTCCCATAAGTGAGAAATTCAAAAAATATGTAGGTATTAAGACAATGACGAAATGATAAGTATTCTTTGTTTTTTACGGAATTGCCACAATATATCGAATAGTTATGAGGCAATTGATATTCTCGAATTCCAAATAATTGATATTTTCAACGAGATCAGATAACATTATTTCGTATATCCATCTCAAGTCAACAATCCCACCAAATTTATGTTCATAACCTTGTCAGTTGAAGGATGTGCTACTTTTATTCGTATCTTATCGTGGTATCGGCCTATTGTTGTGGCTAATTATTCAACGATACTTTAGAGTATTTGTAGTTATTTACAGCAAACCTCTTATTAGCGAAATTTGTGGCAGATAAGATATAGTATTTGTTTCCTTCTTAAGAAAATATAATGATGCTCAAGAAATTTTCAATTCAAAGTTTTCATCATGTATCCTGTAAGTTTTTAAATCGGTTATATTATTAACAAGAAGTACGCACATTTTTTATTTATTCCTTATCAAATTTCTAAATTGAACATACATATACAACACATATACATGTGACGACTATATTACAGTGATGCCAACTTGGGGGTTTTCCCCCTAAATTTAGAGGATATAATTTGGAAAAGGGGATTTTTTGGGGGGGAAATTTTTTAGTGTATTTTTAGGGAGAAAATGAATAACTGATTTCTACACAAATGAAGAACAGAAAGCTGATGAGTTTTTCGAAATTATTAATGAATTGGGAATTAATATAGTATAAGTTTTTATGTTCATATATGTGTGTTCATTTGATGAATTTATTTTTTTATTTATTAGTTGATGTTGTGTACCGACGTACTCACATAAAGGCAATAAAAAGATTACCATGTTCTGAAAATCTTATGTAACATTTTTCAATTACCTTTTTATTTAAAACTTCGTTGTACTAAGAATATGAAGGTAAGTTAATCTATTAACTTGTTAACTGTTAAATGTTATAGCAACTTTGAATATTTAATTATATTTTTCATTTACTAAAAAAATTTGGGGAATCTTGGTTTGAATTTAGGGGTTTTCAAAATTAGGCTTAGGGGAAAAGATTTTGAGCAGTTAGCATCACTGCTACATTAACAGGAGTACGACAATCGTTAGTTAAATACCTATGAGTTGATGTTTTGAAGTAATTAGGCGAATAACCTCTTGAGACTGGTACTTGTGATGTAGTATGGAACCTTTGGTGTAGTAATGAATCTTACTAGAGTTTTATCCTAACACCAAACTGTTATTTTCAATACCTCGATACGTGTTTCGATCACCAAGTGGTCATCTTCAAGAGGAAGATTGAATGTTGAGTCTTGAAAATAACATTAATATTCTAGGGATTGGATACAAACTGTAAAAAAAAAATCAACAGATATTCGTGTAACTTGAAAAATATTCATAAAAAAAAGAATTATTGTAATGTAGGCTTCGACCCGAGATTTATTTAAGCGACATATATCAGTTCAGGGGATTCTTCATATTTTTATCCCCCTGAAAATATTACTCCTTCCACGTATAAGTGGTTACAGTTTTCATAAATTGAACTCTCGATTATAATAGTATTCCTCCACAGTGATGTCACATCACAGTGGGACAGCACAAACGTGCTGGGCTGAATTTTCTAGTGCATCGTCTTTTGACTTTTCCTCTCACACATGAAAGGTTCACAAAAGAAAAACGGACAATACAGGAAATAACAGTCAGTAACGGTTTCTTGAAGGTGATATCATAAGGAAGAAAAAGTTTAGGTTGAGAATGAACGAAATCTGGACTTTTAGAAACGACGAAAACCAAGATATATCTCAATTCCATTTCCATACCACTAATACATGAAGAACTTCGGAAAGATTTTCAAGGAACTAGGTATAAAGGTGGTCAAGTCATACCCTACAGAGCCTTTCAGGAAATCCAAAGGACAAGGCGAGAATTCAGAAAAGTCTGGAATTTATGAAATCAAATGTAAGGACTGCAATGCAAAATATTATGGACAGACTAAAATATCTATTGAAATAAGATATAAGGAACACTTAGCACACCTAAAATATGGAAGACCAGAAAAATCAGCAGTCGCCCATCATATTTCGCAACAAAAACATTTCATAGATATTAGTTCATTAAGATTAGTTAGACAAGATAACAACAACAGGCATCTAGATGCCTACGAGAGTGTAGA